GAAGCAGAAGCAGACAGTGCAGATATGGAGCCCGGCACAGAGATGGATCAGGGTAAACAGTCAAAACATTACAAATAGTAATGAATCCATCAAGTGTCTAACATGTGGAAAATAGCATTTTTGTTTACAAAGAACTCTCTTCACCAAAATGAAACGACTCAGATAATCAAAGCTGTGTAATAATAAAATATTTGATGATGTGATGTTTAAATTCCAGACGACATCCCTTCGGATGCGGAAGCCGAGGCTCGTTTGCACCAGTCGGAGCACGAAGAAGCGCTTCCCGAGGAAGACAGGAAATCGGAAAGCTTGGCAACAGCTTCCAGCATCGGTACACGTCACAAAACGTTTCTCCACACGATCACGCAGATATGTTTTCCACAAATCAAAGGCAACGAGCCTTTTCTTCTCCCTTTTGTGAATTCAGAACCATCCAGCATCAGCCTGCTGCAGAAGGACGATATCGTTCTTTTTCCGCTTAAACCGTCCCCAGAACCTGAAACCCAGGTGAGATGATGCTTCAGAAGTTCAAAGCGATTAATGGCTTTTACCTGAATCCTAAACTCCTCTGTTGTTTGTTTTGGTTCGTAGATAAGTCCAGTAAAATCTCCTGGTCTCCGCTTTTTTCCTGATCCTTTCATACCTGAGGAAACAAAGCCAGAAAAGACGACTCCATCTCCAACTTCCAGGAGCCCACCGTGCCCTTCACCTGCTCCTGTCCAGCAGTTGTCTCCTGTTCCCTCACCTACTAATGCTGCTGCTTCTACACCAGTTAAAACCCCAACGTCTGCTTCATCTCCTCCTCTTTCACCCACCAAACCACCTGCTGCCTCTCCACTACAGCCACCCAGTCAGTCACCTCTCAAGTCACCAGTGACCTCACCAATTTGCTCGCAGCCTACACCCCTGCCCGAAACTGAAGGACCTAAATCTCCCGTCTTTCCTCACCGCTCAATTTGCCCTCTCACAGGAAACCCCCTCTCCCCGATCTGCGCCCAGCCGTTGCCCTGCCACGAACCCTCGACGCCCCTCACCTCCGATTCTCCCGTCAGAACTCAGCCCGTCCCTGCAGTCACTTCAACGCCCTTGGCTAAAACCAACACGGCCACGCCAGAGCCTTCAAATACCTCAACAGAAGAGACGCCGTCTAAAAAGACAGATATCATTGAGGAGTTCTGGTTGAAGAGCGCTGAGATAAGAAAGAGCCTCGGTCTGTCTCCTTTGGACCGCAGCAGTAAAATCTTAGAAAGGAGTGTCGTTAAGACTCCAACTCAGGACTCCAACTTCGCTAAGACACAAACGCCAGACGTGTCCGGGGAACAGAAGCCTGCCTTCACTGGCCGGGCTGTCATTCGCAGACTCAATATCACCCTCGAGGGTCAGGTCATCACTCCTATCGCTCCTGTTGAGCCCAAGAGCGATGGCTCCGATAAAAGAGACATCAGCAGCAGCTCAGGCTTGGGCTTGAATGGAAGTGTGGCCACGAGCCAGACGGTAAACAGTGACAGCTATAACACGTCCGACTCGGCTATGCTGACGCCACCTTCCAGTCCACCACCACCCGTGCCTGCTAATCAGTCTCCAGCCGTGCTCAGGCAGCAGAGACACCAGGTGTCCTGGACCAACGGAACAGAAAAACCTCCTGAGCATGCCAAAGAGCCAGCAAAAGCCACTACACCTGTTCCTGCACCCAGGACCCAGCTGAGCCCCGTATCTGTGCCCAAACCAGCACCCAGGAAGGTCTCCTCACCTCAGGCAGCTCCAGAAACACCCCCGGTGGTCGTGATGAGGGAGAAGAAGAGGGAGAAGCCACGGCCGCAGGAGACGAGGAAGTCGTTTGTGGAGACGGTGGAGGAGATTCCTTTCGCTGACGATGTGGAGGAGAGCTACGACGACCGGACACCAGACGCAAGCATGAACAGGTATTACACTCCGCCCACGAGCAAGCCGAGCAGGGAAAAACCTCCCCTTCATTTGGCGCTAGCAATGGAAAACGGTAAACCCAATATCCCAGTCAACCCAGTCTCTAAGACCCAGAGGGCAACTCAGTTCTCTCCAGAAGCCAGGGAGATTGCAGAGGAGAGGATAAGGGCCAGAGAAAAATCTGTCAAGAGCCCGGCTCTAAAAGAAGCTATGGCCAAACAGTTGAGCAAAATGAAAGAGTCCGATGGGGAAAAGGGCGCCTCACCTAAAGTGGCCTGGAATGTAACACCAGACGCTGTTGGAAAAAGTAAAAAGTCATCTCCAAAGACATCAGCTGTGAAAGCTTTAGAGTCAAAGAAGTCCGAGGCCCTGTCGGAGCGTTTCTTTAGCAGCAACAAGAGCCTGGACAGCTCGGTGGCTTCGTCAGACGGCTCCTCTACAAGTAAAAGTAAGAAACGAAGCTCCCTCTTCTCACCGCGGAAAAACAAGAAGGAGAAAAAAGCCAAGAACGACAGCAGCAGGCTCTCGGGCGCAGACGAGACGCCTCCGAAACACAAGTCTCTGTGGAAGGCCGTCTTCTCAGGGTACAAGAAGGACAAGAAGAAGAAGGACGATAAGTCGTGCCCGAGTACACCGTCGTCCAGCTCCACTACTCAGGACTCTGGAAAGAGAAGGACGTCACCTCCTGGAAGATCTTCGGGTAAGACTATTCTTCCGAAGCTCATTTCATGTTATGAAATTATTGATTGCTGATTGTTGTCTTTGCTTGTCGTTTGAAGTAGACGTGAAAACGCGGAGAAACCTGAGTTTCTCCGAAGATTCCGACCTGTCCTGTGACGACGTTCTGGAGAGATCCTCCCAGAAGTCCAAAGCAGATGTGAGCAAATACAGATGTCACATGGTTGTCTTTAGGGATTCGTGCATGCACAGGCTTGCAACGCCAACCGGAGTTGACTGGGGTCCTTACAACCGCCTTTTTGGACCTTTTAATTTTACTCATGCAGGTTCATCTGATTAGATGAAAACACAACTTAAAACCAAACTGTTGTGAATGAAACTCGTGCAGTCTGGCTTTGCAAGGCTATACATATCATCACGACATCCGCTGTACCAGTTTCTGTTTTGCTTCCTCTCGAAAATCTTTTTCTTTATATAATCTCTTCCACTCCTAGAGGCATGTGGACATCTTTGACCTAGT